AATCTCATTTTATCTTCACAACTACCCTGGGAGATAGGTGCTACAATTATTCCCATTTTACACAGGAGTGAACTGAGGCATGGAAAGATTAAATGACTTGCCCAAGGGTCACACAGCTAATAAGTGTCTGAAGAGAAATTCGAACTCAGGTTCAAAGATCACCTTCTTGGTAGGTCCTGCTAACCCAGAGATATATTTATCTCCACACCAAGTACTTCATCCAGGATGGATCAGCCTTCTAAGCCTGGAAAGGATCAGCTTAGCTGAGCATGAAAAGATTCAGCTTCAGAAAGTGGGCCATAAGAAGATTATTTGGGGAGGGGCAGGTCAGGGAAGAGTGTCAGAACAACTCATGAACCAACCCATCTAGCAGTCAGTCCTGGTGAAAAGGAAAACCTAGCAAAACACAAATCCTCAAAACAGGCAGTAGGAGGAGAACTGGATTCAGAGACCTAGGTTCAAACCCTGCTCAGACACTTATTAGCTGTGTAACCAAGGGCAAATAACTGTAGCTCTCATATCCACAGTCTCCTCATTTGTAAAAATCGGGACAAGCCTTGCAATCCTTACCTCACAGGATTGTTTGTAAAGAAAGTGTTTTGCAAACCTTGCAGCAGGGTGAGCTGCAGTGGTTACTATTAATTTCCATTTTAATACCATAAGATAGGTTAACTTCACTTGTTACGGTGATCAGTCAAAAAATAACTCAGGGAAAATACCAACCCTGGAGTATGTTTTAGAAATAAAACAGTCCATACACAGGTATACAACCAGAATGAAAGCATGAAAGAAATGATATAGTATCACAATTAGCAACGTGTAGCAAGTCAAAGGATTTTACCATCTTAGTTTTAGAACTGGAAGGGACCTTAGAGACCATAGTCAGAGACGTTAAGTGACTTGCTCAGAATCACGCAGGTAAACAGTATCTGAGGCAAGATCTGACCTCAGGGTCTTCATGCCTGCAAGTATAGTGCTCTATCCACAAGGCTCAATAGCTACCATTTAAATAACACGTATTTGATTTCTGCCCTTAGCAAAATCACAATGTTAGTAGCACAGTAGAATGGAAAGGACACTGGAATTGGAGCTGTAGGCCCAGAGTTCAAATTCTGACTCTTCCACCTACTATCCATAGGACTTTGGGCAAGTCATTTAACACGCCTAGTTTTCCATTTTCTCATCTGCCAAATAAGCAGGTTGGATCTAATAACCTCTAAAATCCCTTCAAGCTTTAAATTTATGACTCAAAATTTGTCTTTGGCAGCCTTCCCCCTCCTTTGGCCTCTAATGCACTCATGGTGCCTGAATCCCACCTCTCCCAGTCTTATAAGTAAACCTGCTCCAAAATTACTTAACTCAACTCCAACCCTACTCTCACACTTTTGAAATTCATGTTCCCTCAGTCAACCTTAACTAGATGATGCAAAGAGAAAACCAAGCAAAAAATCTAATTAAATTTATACCTTAGTTCGAATTATTACCAAGTTTACCCTTCCCAGGGGGATCAGTATTTTAAAGTAGAAACATGTTAGCCCAAATGAATCTCTAACTGGAAGAATAAATGAGAGGAGTGATTTTTGTACCAGAAGACTCTTTAAGTGTCCCATGCCTAGAGCTGCTGCCAGCACCTCTCCCCAAACCCCATGACCTGGCAAAAAGAGCAGGGGTCAGTAACTTGGCACCGTCACACTGGAAAGGTTGATGACCCTCCCTTTAGAGCCAGAAAGGTCTCACCCACACAACTGTGCATTTCCAAACTCTGACTGGTCATGACTGGGCTAAACTTACCCCCTCCTGTCATGCCTTGGAATAGATTCCAGCCTGTTTACCTAAAAGTGATCAGTCAGCAGACAGTCAGCTTTCAAGACACTCATACTTGCATCCAGGCTTTTTTCTTCCCTTACACCCAGAAGAGGATAAAAAAGGAGAAGGGGGAGAAAATCCTATGTCTTCCTTTCTACAATGAGAACCTTGATATATTCAGCATTTGTCATGGCTTTTACCTTTAAATGGCATGGTCATCACTCTAACATGCAGGAGATGTACAGTAATCCAGTTGTTCTTCTTCCTTGAAATGGGAGGCCCTGAACTTCACTTGATAACTTTGCTTCATGATGGACTGCTCTTTAAAACACACACTCACACACACACACACACACACACACACACACACGGCAAACACTCCAATAATTCTAGTCCAAACTAATGTGTTCAGATACATACTTTAATATAATTTCTGTGGCAATTTTGTAGTAATAAAATACAGATGGATAATTACAGATACCAATGCATGATACTATTTAATATAATAACAAAAACAAGTCTTTATGGTGGCACTGTGATAACTATTTACAGTAAGATTTTAAAGGAAAAAAATATTTGAGTAGTATTTGTGAAGACTTGCAGAAAATAAAAATGACCTTGAATTAAACAAACAAACGAACGAACAAACAAACAACACATCTGTGGCATTGTATCATCTCCAAATCACTGATGACAACAACAAAAAAATACTTTTTATGTGCACTTACATGGACATGAATGAGTACCTTTTCCTGTTTTCCCTAGGCACTGAGAATTCTCCTTGATATTAACAGGCTTTCATACAGACTTGCATCCACTCATAAACTTAGTCTTGTTAGCATTATTCCAAATCTTTGTCCAGACAGAAGTTACTGTACACAGAGTGCTGATATGCCCACTATGTTTTTTTGAGGCATTACAAAAAATTTACATCAATCTCCCCCTGTTCATTGTAAAAAACAAGAATCGTGCTGAACTGCTGAAACTCAGGCTTTGTAAATATAGAACACATGGAAGGAAATGGGCCAGGCATCGAAACCATGAGTCCTGTCCTATGTAGATTCTGTTTAAATCTCATGGCATTCCTAAACACCTGAGCCTGTATTAATGAACAAATCATGACCTACACTGCTTTTCCTGACCAGAACAAGGATGGATTAAAGAAGGGGTTCTTAGCCTGGGACCCATAAACTAATTTTTCTAAAAATAATTTGCTAATTAAATTTCAATATAATTGGTTTCCTTTATAATTCTATGTATTCCATTTTGTACACTTAAAAACATTATTTTGAGAAGGGTTCATAGGCTTCACCAGATTGCCAAAAAGGTTAAGAACTCCTGAATTCAACTAATTAATTCAGCGCAGAGGCATAATAAACTCATGACATTGCTAGCCTGACACATATGAAATGTCCATAAAGGTCCATTTTTTTTGTTTTATTTTGTTTTGTTTTCTCAACAAGTGGTCAGGAATACAACTCTCCCTATATAGCTAATTTCATTTGTCTTGTGATAGAGTATCAAAGTAATTTGCTTTACAATCTCCCCCCCCCCCCCGCCGAGATCCACATATAAAATGGGGAGAGGGAAGGAGCCAAAGCTAACTCTGCATTTTTCTTGGTTTTCAGGTTCAAAAACGCCCTTAGAATTTAAAATGTTAAGATGAAATGGCTTTACAATTCCTCCAGTGAAATTCCTTACTATTTAGTATGCGAGGAGAGACTCCAAAAGGCAAATTCATGGAGATGACCCACAGAAATTCTTTGTAGTGTTATTTAAAACCCAAAAGGCAGCATATCAATTTACACAGGAAAAGACTCTGACAGAGGGCAGCTTACAAGGGTGAGTGTCCAAACCGTAGGAGTTAGGAGACATTATATTATAAATAAAAACCATAACCTCCCTTCCCTCATCTATATACCTTAGGTCAAGAATTCCAACCTAGGCAATTAGTAGTGAGAACTCAAAGCAAGAGAAACGCTCACACCCCTGACCCAAGCACAGTTAAGGGGGGAACTGACAACATTAATCCTTTTGATTTAAAATAGAGATTTCCTGTATTTCATTATTAGAATCATGGGAATGTGGAGCTGGATTTAAATTATTAAAAATAAGTATTCTCTCTCTCTCACTTTCTCACTTTACTAGGATTAAAATATCGCATTCTCTAGTGAAAATCAAAATTTGAGTGTCATATACTTTGGAAGCTGACTGGACACAGACATATTTCAGTCTCCTTGATCGTAGAATCAGGTAATACTTGAGCAAAAATTAAAATAACTGCAAATGCATTTTCTGTAGAGGAATAAGAATCACTAATATGCTTGCTGGGCAATGAAAATGAAAACAAATCCTTATTTTTTTTTTAAATTGCAGTGGTGTTTCTGGTTTTTCCAAGAAGCAGTATCACAAAGGACTTTAGGTCATAGGATTAAAAAAAATTTTTTTTGGCCTAGATTTGTAGTTTTATTAGTATGGGGGATTCACAGTATGGGAATTCCACTACAGATGTGAGATTTACCTATAACTTATAGTTTCAGAGAAATGTGTAGGGCACTGAGAGATTACATGACTTGCCTACAGTCACATAGTGAATACATATCACAGGCACCACTCGAACCCAGATCGTCTGACACTCAAGGCAACCCCATCTATTTACTTACACCAGGCTGTTTTCCAAGATTCCATGCTAGTGAATTCCATCCTGATGAATAAGAACAAAGTTAAAGAATGAAAGCTATTCCACTCTTATGGATAGCTCAGAACTTATGAGTTCTTTGAGTGACCTTCTGCACTTAAGATCTCCACACCTTCCAAATCTCTAAGAATAACAGCAGTCCTAAGTACTAGATTATCAACACAGGGGTAACAAATGTTTAGAGAATTTTTCTGATAAATTAAGTTAAAAATGTTTAGTTATCGGGGCCAGTCTTTAAATATATCATTTTGTGTTTAAAAAAGTTTTGAAATTTGGGCTTAATATGTTGTATACATTGCAAACACTTTGTACAATGGGATTGCCAGATGGAGGGTGCAGTTGTATAGCCTGAATGACTCAAAAGGCTATGTATATACAGCATGGATATATAACATGTGTATATATACATATATATTATATATATGTTACATATAATATATATATATATAATCTCACCATGAGCAAATTCAAAGGCTCAATGCACCTTCCCCTTCTATTATATACACATTATACAAGTCACAAAATGATTGTCCTTCCATACAGCTAAGAATAGAAAATATACTAGAAAAAAATTACATTTTGATTAAAGGCTCCATCAAACCATATGTGCAGACACTTGAGATGATGACAGTGTTAAGCTTCCTAGGGTCCTAGAGTCAAAGAAATTCTGTTGACCCCCACTGCTCAACAAGTGCACTCCTTCCATAGGAGGCAATATCTGCCGATCAGTCATGGTCCCACTCGGGGAGGACCCCAAAAAATTTCCTTGGGAAGAAACAATTTTCTCAGGACTGGCAGCCAATTTAGGGGATGTGGAGAAGTTATATCCATACAAAGCACATGGGCTGTGTAACCTGAAAGTGTTGTAAGAGCCCTGGTGGGTCTGGTTGGTGGCGAAGGCATTGCCAGATGGTGAAGGCATGATATACTGGAGCTGGGGAGACATCCCTGAAATTTGCATAGACAAGCTGGTCTGTGGACAACTGAATGTGTCTCCATCATTGCCAGCCATGGACATGTTCACGGTCGTACTGCTGGTAACTCCAACGTAAGAAGGGGTCCTTGGTGGGGCAAAGGTCTCATTGGTCTGGTTAGTGAGCCTGTTGTAGGTTTCAGCCAGAGAGGTGCTGTACCGGTTGAGGGTGAGGCCTGAACGGGCACAGGCAGAATAATCAGCAGGCGCCAGGCTGCATAGCTGGCTCGTGTTTGGCCCAAGATGGAAGGCAGGAGAAGAACAAGGAGAACCTGATAAAAGATGAGGGTGGGTGGTAGGAACTCCATTGCCAGAACCTTGAAGTAAGGTAGATGAGCTTGTGTTTCCTAAAAGATGAATAAAACATAAACAGCCAACGACACTCAGTTATCTTTTGATTCAATTTCATTTGAAATTAAAGGACTTAAAGACATGTTTAAGGATTTTAATCACAAGAGAGCTTCCTGAATTCAGATTCCCCTCTTAAAAGTGGTGATGATCTTAAAGTTGCTTCCTCAACTGGTCTCAGTACTGTAGTGAATATTACAAATTCTTAATTTCCCAAGGTTTCTATCAAATCTAAACTTAATTTCCTGCTTTACCTTGATATGAGATTGTCACCATTCTTTCTCCTCTTCCCATTTTCACATTGTTCCCAATTAGTTTTATTTGAACCTATATTGTCTCCCCATAGGAGACCTATAGAATGCATATCATATGGATACATATACACCCACATACATATATACATATACACCCATATATGTACGTATATATCCATATAGGTATATATATGCATATATATACATATACATATATACACACATATACATACATATATATACATATATCATAATAGATTTGAGAACATAGTAGAAAAGGCAAGGAATGATAGATAAAGGAAGGAATGAGACAATGTTGAAGGTGAAGGAGGTAAAGCCTTTTTTCCATGCAATATGACTAATCCAATAACATCCAAGACTCAATCTGTCATCTAAGAGGTTTGTTGTTGTTGAGGTTTCCCAACCATTCCCTCCTCCCCAGTCTAATTTTCTAAGACTATAAGTTGCAGCTGAGTTGCTGATCTGTATGGATGGAGGGATTTTCATGCCAGTGATTTCATTTCACCAATGAAATCACAAAGTCTCAACTAAAAAGCAAATCTTATACTTCTCTACTATTCCATACTCCAATGCCTTGAAGCAAAATAGAGCTGAGCTTTTGTCCTCAAAAGTTATGCCAACAGAGCACAATTTCTGGTAATTCTATACAAGCTGGAAAAGTTTTGAATGTAGGCTTAGTAAAGCCTTGAGGTACACCCTGGCTTAGTATGGACAGATGATGACTCTCTTTGGCCACAGAAACTCATGAAAACATCCACTACTGGAAGGGAAAGGGAGAGGGGTGGGGTGATTCCTATAGAAGCACCACGTACTCCAGTGAAATCATGGATCTTTTCAAGCACCAAAGAACAATCCCTATATGCCACTACTTTGAAGATAGAGGGATTCTGAGGAATGTGAAAGGCAGGGGATTAGGCTCCCATTATCAGGGGAGACAAGGTCATGCATTTTTTTTTCCATTGGTGGCAATGGTCTTAGGAATTAGCTCAATAAGAAGTGACAAAAGGATGGTTTCAAAGAAAACCCAGAAAGACCTATATAAACTGATGCAGAATGAAGTGAGCATAACCAGAAGAATCGATACAATAGTAACAATAATACAAAAATAGACAGCTTTGAAAGATTTAAGAATTCTTATCATTACAATGACCAACCCTGATTCCAGAGGACTCATATAATGCATGTTACTCACCTTCTGACACAGAGGTGAAAAACTCAAGGTACAGAAGGATACATGTTTTTGGACATGGTCAGGGGGCACTTTGTTTTACTTATTCATATCAGTTACAAAGGCTTTGTTTTTCTTTTTCAAATGGGGGAGGAAAATAAAATAAACTTTGATTAAATGAAAAAAAAAATTTGAGCCCTAGTTTGGCATCAGAACCACATTACATATCTGGCCCATGTGACTTTACAGGATTTTCATTTACCTTGTTTGGGTATTCCCGGGATATCTTCAAATGTGAGAGTCCTTAGGGAGGGTCTCCAGAATGCATATGACTCTACTAAAGCTTCCAAACCCATTCTAAATGTTAAAAAAACAAAAGTCCAGTTAGCTTCAGTTTGCTCCACACTTCCTAATACAGATAGTTTATTAAAATATTTTAAATATTTGATTAAAATCCACTGATTACAGATTCCAACCTCTTAAGTCATGCATCTTTGAAAGTTAGGCGCTTGCTATAGACAGAAGAGAAACCTTAGGACCCTCATACAATTTAGTTGCAAGGAAGCAGGAAGAATTACTAGTAGCTTTACATAGCACTTACTATGTTCCTGGCACTGTGCTAAGTACACTATAATTATTATTTCATTTGATCCTTACAATAACCCTAGGAGGTAGGTGCTATTATTATCCCCATTCTACAATTGGGGAAACGGAGGCTAACAGCAATTAAATGTATTGTCCAGGTTCACACAGCTAATAAGTGTCTGAGGGTGGAGTATTATTAATTTATTAGCTATGTGACCATAGACAAGTCACTTACTTTCTATAAGGCTCAGTTTCTTCTTCTGTAAAATGGAGATGATAAAAATGCCTATCACATTTACACCTCAGGGTTGTCTTGAGGTTCAAACATGACAACCTACATAAAGCAATCTGAAAACATCAAAAGTATACTGAGTGGCTCTAATGCTGCAAAGAAACGTCATTACTCTGTAAATAGAAACAATCTGTAAACAAAATTTACAGAAGTCATTTATTTGAATGGGGAAAAAACCGCATCTTTATTTTCACTAGATTTTGGCTTCCATTTTAGTCATTTGTATTTTACTTTATACATTTAAGAATTTTTTTTTCTGAAAAGGAGTCCTTAGGCTTCAGCAGACTTGCAAGGGAAACCATGACACACACAAAAAAAGATTAAAAACCAACTCTGCTACAAGGAAGGGCTGGTAAGGGTTAGGGTGGAAAGAGGAGAAGGCTCCTGGAGATCACACCTATTCATGCTCTACATGATAATCCTGCTTAGAAGATTACAAGCAGAGGTTGCAAAACCCCTTGTTGCTCCATATGTTATGGAAGTGGATAGAGTGACAGGCCTAGATTCAGGAAGATTCATCCTCCTGAGCTCAAATCTAGCCTCAGACACTTACTAGCTGTGTGACCCTGGGCAAGTCATTTAGTTCTGTTTATCTCAGTATCTCCATCTGTAAAATGAGCTAGAGAAGGAAATGGCAAACCACTCCATTATATTTGCTACAGCAAGGACTCCGATGTCAGACATGACAGAAGAGCAACAGTATTTTTACAAAGCCTTCCAGTTCAAAGTGCTTTATACACATTGGCTCGTTTAAACCTCAGGAGAGCTTGTGATATAGGTAGAGAATACAATTACCCACAATTTACTGATAAGGAAACAGAAGCTTCAAGGCTAAATGAGTGCCCTAAGAAAACATATCTAGTGATTGAGTGTGAATTTGAAACCAAATCTTCTGACTTTGGCCAGTTCCCTCCTCCTTAGGCAGGCTGGTAGCCCTGTGCCCCCTTCTTCCCAATGTCCCAGAAGCTCACCATATTAATGCAGAACTTTGTAGAAGCACATCCCCATCCACTGACATGGCCCACTAAAGCTCAGAACTCCTGAGCTCAAGAGATCCACCAATCTCAGCCTTCCCCCATAGACGGAATTACAGGCTTGTGCCCTGACTCCCCTACCACCAATATTCTCTTCACAGTTCTCAAGTTAGACCACGCATCAATAACAAAATTGTGAATCAGAACCATCCAACAGTGGCGTGGGTGCGAGACCACACTTCTTTGCTGAAGAGTTTTGCAGATATAGCTACATAAATCTCTACCTCCATGTTGCCTGCACTGAATATATCAGAATTTAATATTAATTCTGAATGTGTATGCATTTTTAGATCACAATATAATGTTTTTTAAACTACTTTGAATCCTTAAGTTTGCTCCCAAATAGCTTCTCAAAATTGCTTTGTATTTCCATTTTGATGGTTTTAGGAATTACTATACTTTAAGACTTTGTATTTCCTTTTTCCTCTTCTTCTTCATCTCTGCCTACTGGCTTCTCTGACTTTTTTTAAGTTCCAACTAAAATCTCATCTTCCATAAGAAGACTTTCACAAATCTTCTTAATTCTAGTTCCTTCCATCTCTTAATTATTTCCTATTTATCCTACATATAGTTTATACTTATTTGTTTGCTCGCTGTCTCTCCCATTAGAATGTGAACTCCTTGAGGTTTGGGCTGTCTTTTGCCTCTTTTTGTATCTTCGACACCTAGCATAGTAATTGTCATATAATAGGCACTTAATAAATGTTTATTGATTAACTATCCATTTACATGTTGCCTTCCCTCAGGAGAGTGTGAGCTTCCTGAGTGCAGATTACTTTCATTTCTTTATTTCTAATCTCAGTTCATAGCAGGGTATCTGGAAAACAGTGGGCACCAAATAAATGTTTGTTAAACTGAAGATTTCCCAGTCTCCTTTAATGTTTGCGCCTTCCCTCTAAGACTAGTTTCAATTTATCCTGTATGTACTTGACATAATTGTTTGCACATTATCTCTCCCATTAGACTGAGAGCTCCCTGAGAACAGAGTCAATTTTTTACCTCTTATGCCTAGTGGTTTGCACAGTATCGGGCACATAGAAGGTTCTTAATCAATGCTCATTGACTTGACTTGATAACCCAAAGGGTCATGTTAGTATATTCTTCGGACAAATTAGGTAACCACCATTTACTGAATGGTATTATTATAGGATTTTTTTTTAAATATAGGACAATAGATGGGATGTGACTATATATTTCACAATAATATTATTAATACATTAACTGACTTTATAGAGAGCTTTATAATTTGCAGATTACTTTGTATGCATTACCTCATTTGACATTTAGAATTTAAAATTTATACCTTGATCACTTCAAAAGAATATGAGCTAGTTTATAAGACTAAGCTTAATGCACAAAGATTCTTAACCTGGGTCTAAGATTTTTTTTTTAAAAACATCTTGATACCTGTAATTCAATAAATTGGTTTTCTTGGTAACTCTAAATATTTAATTTTGTACATTTAAAGGGGTCCATATAGGCTTCACCAGGATGCCAAAGCAGTACACACCATGAAAATCAGTTAAGAATCCCTGAAATTAAAGGCAATGTTAGAAGAGAATCATTTATGAAGAGTGAAATAGCATGAGCACTGCATTGGGGGTCAGAAGACCTAAGTTCAAATCCCAGTTCTACCACTTACTCTCTGCGTGAGCTTAGACCAATAATTTCACCTGACCAGGCCTCAGTTTCTTCATCTCTTAAAGGAGGTGGTTGGATTAAATGATCCCTGAGTTCCCTTCCTCCCCTAAATCTATGACCCACAATCTTTTTACTGCAAGTTTATAATGCTCCCATTGTAAACTCACAAACAAAATCGCTTGGGGACAAGCTAACATCAACAACAAAACCCAAAGGCCAGGTTTGGAGGAGACATATGGAAAGGTTATAAATATACAAATGATCAGATGTGAAGCCATCAATATTTTTTTCTGAGATGACTGTTTTCGGGCTGAAAGCTCCAGAAAGGATCAGAGATATTTTGCAGGAAACCGTTATAAAATATTTATTAGCTGAACCTGGACATTTGAAAAAAAAACCAACAACAAAAAACCAAGCCTTCATTTTGTGCAGTAATGGAGACTTTTCGCTTCTAGTTAAAGAGAAGATAAAAGGCACCTCCTGGAGGAGCAGGGCCAAGGCGATAATTTATACAAGATGCCTTCGAACAATTTCCACATTTTATCACCACCCTAATTTACGCTATCAAATGGCCAAGTTTATTTAGTAAAATGGTTATGTTTTTCCTGAAGTATTTAAAGAGGAGAAATTTTTGTACCTTCCTGAGTAAAAAATTTTATAGGGTCAAACCTGAGGCCTTGCTGAAGAAGGAAACTATTCTCAGCACATAAATTCTCTTTCACTCTGGAAATGTCCTGCAGCAGAGCTTTTGAGGGCTGAAGCTACTGATTTCTATAAAACAGCCTGTGGGACTGTAAAGTGGTTGGAAAGGAGCATTTTTAAATAAAGAGAATTGTTTTATATAGTTTAAACAATTAGAGACCTTTTTTACATCTTGTCTTGTCCAATGTGTTTACTATATTTATGAAAAAAACATTAGAATTAGAATTTTTTAAAGTGGGTCAAATTGATTATGTGTACAGCAGAGGCAATCACAACAAATCAATCAAATCCAATCTTTTTTTATAACTTTTTTTTGTTATCACAACTATTAAACTGGTCCCACCTCTTGCCCCACCCCAAAGGAGGTTTATATTTAACCTAGAAATAATATCTAAAATATTTTATATTCACTTCTCTGTAGATGACTGTTTTTGGGCTGAAAGCTCCAGAAAGGATGAGAGATATTTTGCAGGAAATTATCTACCTCCCTGTTGGCATCCTTTCCACCCTCAGTAGAATATAAGCTCTTTGAAGGCATGGCCTTTGGAGAGTTGGATTTTTTTTGGTCTTTATTGTTCCCTGTACCTAACACAGTTTATGATACATAGAAGGAACTTAATAAAGTTTTGTTGAGTTGAATTGTGTAAATAAGAAATGAATGATATTAAAAGGTAAAACTGTTCTCTCTTTTCTATAAAAATATAGTTTTTGTTAGTCAAAGTAAATTATATTTTAAATTCAGGTAGCAGAGAGAGTTTGCAGTTTTAAAAATATTTAGCTTTTCAAAGTATACATCTTATCTATGTGTGGGTTTGATTTTTTTTTTTGGAAAAGTAAATATAATGCTCTATTTAACACCAGTCATCAATCCACATGATAGCCAATATTTTCATGTCATACTAATAATTTTAAAGTTTAGTTCATTTAATTTGTGTATTTAGATATAAAAATTTTAATCACAAATATTTTGAAACAATTAAGAAGTTGAAAATTAATCCAAGTATAGGATTCTCTCCTATATTTTCAGTGAACCCAAGAAAAGAAAGGGAGGTAACTTACTTATAAGAAGGGAGCTCAAATTTTCATAATGCAAAACAAGGTTAAAAAATAAGAGGAAAAAAATTGAACCAACCTGTTACTGAAGTCAAACTAAACAACTGATTTGAATGGCTAGTTTTTGCTAATTTCTTTTCATTAAAAATAATTGTTCAGTGCTCTCTATTACCTCTGGGGTAAAATATAAACTGCTTTGGCATTTAAAACCCTTCACAATCTAGCTCCCACAGACCTTTCTAGACTGATTCACTTACTCCCTTTCACTCACTCTCTATTCCAATAAAACTGGACTATTTCCTGTTCCTTTACATGTCCAAATTCACTCTTCCATCTCCATTTCCATGTTTTTTGTACGAGTTGACCACCATGTCCCTTCTTACTTCTGCCTCTTGGAATTCTCAATTTGCTTTAAGGCTCAATTTAGGTACCACATCCTATAGGAAGTTCTTTCTGATCCCCCATGGCTCTATTCTCAAATTATAGTATGGTTATTTCTTAAATGTCTTATTCTAGTCTCTTTCCTCCCAACTCTCATTCCAATTCTCTTAGGGTTAGAATTGTTTCTCATTTTGTCTTCATATTCCCAGTACCTTTCATAGCGTAAGCACTTAGGAAATGCTTGTTGAATTGAAGGATCTTAAATGACAAACTTTGGCTACCATGAAGACAACATAGGCTGAGTGTCTTCTCAATAATATTCATACCAGCCTTTACCACAAGCTCTCTCTTTGTGGAATGATCGGTGTTTTTATTGTTGCATGGTTAATCTTTGCAAACCTTATAGCCTGAGCAGGTGAAATGATTGGTCTAGGGTCACAGAGGTAGTAAGTGATAGAATTGGGATTCAAACCCAGGTCTTCTGACCCTCAATAAAATACTCATTCTACTTCACTTATAACTATCATTATTATTTTTAAAAGTTACTTCTAAAATCCAACTCCAAAAATAAGCCACAAGCAATGCAGGATGTCCAGACCCAATATTGATAAAAAACAAAATTCTTAAAAAAAAATTTTAATGATTTACCACTTTACAAAAAGGAGTACTACATGGTACCCCAAATATTTCGCTTAGGTAGCCCACCCCCTGGGTCAGCTAGGTGGCACAGTGGATAGAGCTCTGAACCTGGAGTAAGGAAGAGCTAAGTTCAAACCCGAGCTCAGACACTTACTAGTTGTGGGACCCTGGGCAAGTCACTTAACCCTGTTTGTCTCAGTTGCCTCATCTGTAAAATGAGCTGGAGAAGGAAATGGCAAACCACTCCAGTATCTGTGCCAAGAAAATTCCAAATGAGGTCACAGAGAGTTGAGCACAACTGAATGACAACAACAACAAAGCCCACCTTCTACCTTTCATCTCTCATCCTTTCTACCTCCACAACATCTCTTATATAATTCTCCTCTCCACTAACAAAACCACTCCCCAGGTCCTCATCACTTGATCTCTCGTGCAGACTAAGTGCAATCACTTCCTAACTAATCTCCCATCCTAAGTCTCTCACCCATTCCAATCCATCCTCCACACAGCTGCCACAGTGATTTTCCTAAACTACAAGTCCCATCAATAAATTCCAGTATTTCTCCATTGCCTCTAGAATAAAATCTCTCCTCCAAATGGTTTTTAAAGCCCTTCACAACTGGGTACCAACCTATCTTTCCAGTCTCATGGATGATCCCCCTTCCAGAAACTCTACAGTCCAGCCAAACTTGCCTTCCCACTGCTGCTCACACACAGCATCTCATCACTACTGTTGTCCATGCATGGAACACCCTCTTTCCTTAACCTTCTCCCCTCCAGGATAAGATAGCACACACTAAGGTCCTTTCTCAACCTAAACTGCTAAGCATTCAAACTCTACCTCAGAGAGTGCAACTCCAATGGGCTGGCCATGTTGTTCCAATGCAAAACGTATTCTTGCCAAACAGACTATTTTATGGAGAACTCACACAGGGCAAGTATTCACATGGTGGCCAGAAGAAGCAATACAAGGACACTCTTAAGGTCTCCCTTAAAAACTTTGGAATTGATTATGTGACATGGGAGACACTGGCACAGGACCGCTCAAGCATGGGATACCCTCATCAGAGAAGGGGCTGTGCTCTACGAGCAAAGCAGAATTGAAATAGCTTAAAACAAATGCAAGATGTACAGATTTAGAGAATCCACACCAAATATTCACATGTGCCTGACCTGTGGTAGAACATTTCGAGCTCGTGTTGGTCTGATCAGCCACAGTTGGACACACTGTAACTTGACTCTAGCATAGTGATATCATTTTGGTCCTTTTAGATAAAGAAGGACAACAACCAACCAACCCTTCCACTTTCTAGAATTCCTTCCAGACTCAACCAAAGCACTACTTTCCTTTTTTATGAAGTTTTAACTGACTTCTCCCAAAACTGCTATTACCAGCAATAATTGCACAAATAGCTCTCCTTTCCTTCCTAAACTACTGTGTATTTATTTTATATGCTATAAACAAACATTTATATATACATATTGCCTCCCTAAAATGAAGGTAAGCTCTTGAGAGAAGGTAATATTTCATTTTGTCTTTGTATCCTCAGTGTATGGTACACAGTGGGTGCTTAATAAGTGCTTGTGAATCGATTAATATATAGTTCAATTCATAACTAATTTTTCAGGAAAATGTGTACTTTGTACTAGGTAAAACAGAATTCACTGAAAATTCAACCAGGACTACATAGTTTCCTAATTTAAGATTGTCTCTTTTCCCGTAAAACAAGAATGAAAAATTCAAGTACAACAGGCCACCTTCTCTGAGTAAAATAAAGGATTTCAAGAGGAGCTTTCATTGTAATTCTTCTATCTCACAAAACACATAATTGAGATACAGGTTACTAGGAATCATAACACATGGTTTATGAAGATTCTTCCTCTCCTCCCAACTAGTTTCTGGATCTTCTTCATACATCCTATGAAAACCATCTTTCCATGAGACAATGGGGTTGTTCATAGGAATTTTTTTTTATAAAAAAGAGTCATAAATTATTTGTTTCTTGGAGGGCAGGGATGGGGGAATCACATAAAAAAACAAAGTGGCATTCTAGGTGGAACTCTGGACTGAGATGTGGAATGTTGAGATTATATTGGTTCCTGCCCTAGTTTAGATTATGTATGCTATTAACCACTGTCATAATTATTATTATCAACTAGTTATACTGGAATAGAGCCATAACCACAGAGAGGAAACACAGACACACACACACACACACACACAAACAGAAAGAGAGAGAGAACAAACAAACAACTGACTTGCAAACCAGATTAGTAAAGAAAGGCAACAAAGCAGCAGAAATTAGTGGTAGAAATAATCCCAAGTGTAAAAACACTAAAAAAGTAAGCAAGTAAGTAACTTTGGCAAGGGAGATAAAACAACTTGGAGACTAAGGAATATGTAAAGGTAAGACAAATAAAATGGGGAGGGGGAGTAAGGTGGCTTTCATATGTGTTATTTGGCCATGTTAAAGAAAAGACACTCTATGACATTGGGCTTTATCGATGCTTGCAGGTCAAGAAAGGTCCAGTCCCAAAATACATTATTATAAATGGACTAGGCTAATAGACTGGGCCCAAGCTATCATGATGGGTCATCCCCAAGCTTAACTGAATTATAAATATCAAATTAGTATTTTTCAGTTGTTGTCAATTATGTTTTGTCTGTTTGTTTTTTGATTAGTTGTGTCTGACTCTTCATGACCCCATTTGGGGATTTCTTGGCAAAAATATAAAAGTGGTTTCCATTTCCTTCTGCAGCTCATTTTCTAGATGACAAAACTGAGGCAAACAGAATTAAATGACTTTCTCAGGGTCACACAGCTAGTAAGTGTCTCAGGCCAGATTTGAATTCAGGAGGATGAGTCTTCCTAACTCCAGGCTTGGTGCTCTCTCTACTGTGCCACCAGTTCTATGATCACAAAACCTATAAACTTTCCAAAGTTACTGGACATTGCTTTTGTAAAGTAAAGCTGTTTTTCAGAGTAACAGAAGTCTGAATGAGATGTTTTATAATTTAAAATAAGGAGTATAAAATAGCAAATAAATAAGATCTATCACTACTTCTATCATTGTTAAACCAGGTATCAAAACCTTACCGGTTACGGCCAGAATCTCGAAATCCTTTGGCAAAGGGGTTTCTGTCAATTTTCAGTCGTGTAATCTAGAGAAGAAAAAGTCATATTGAAGAAAGCAAAAATTATGAGCAAATATATTTTTACAACCTAAACTGTTATGAAGAAAAAAGTCCACAGAATGAATAAAAACAATAATAATGGTATTGATGTAGTACTTCAAAGTTTTCAAAATACTGTACAAATACTATGTCATTTTATCTTCATGATAACCCTGGGAGGGAGGTGCTATTATTATTTCCATTTTATAGATCAGGAAACTGAGGCAGGCAGAAACTAAGTGACTTGCTCATAGTCAAGCAGCTAATAAATGTCTGAGGCAAGATTTGAACTAAGAATTCATAATGATAAGATGAATCTTTGCTTCACTATAGAGCTGCCTTCTGGTCTTCCAATACCTTAACACTATAAATAACTGACTGGGTAGAAATTTGAGAAATCCATTCAAGTTCATCCCTTGAATCCCTTCAGGAAGATCCATCTACATCACTTCATAAAGGTAAAAATGTATCTCTTTCAAAGCTGATTCTATAACCCTTCTTGACACCTTATTCTAATTTTTAACAATCATTATTGTACTGAAATTTTTCCTTAGATTTATTTTCAGGAGGCAGTGTGGAAGAGAGGAAAGAAGTTGCATAGTCAGAGGACCTGGGTTCAAATATCACTTCAGCCGCTTACTACTTACCTGACTTTGTGTGAGTCATTTAACCACTCTGTGTCGCAGTTCCCTCAACTGCCAAAATGAGGAAATTAGATTAGGTGACCTCTAACATCTCCTCTAGTTTTATATTTTTGAGCTAATAGCTTGGGGGTTCTTAAGCTGGAGTCTGTGAAGTTTTTTAAAATATATTTTGATAACTGTTTTTTTTGGGGGGGGAGAGGATTTGGGTTAAGTGACTTGCCCAGGGTCACACAGCTAGTAAATGTCTGATTTAATTTTAATTTGAACTTAGATACTCCTGACTCCATGGCCGGTGCTTTATCCACTCCACCACTCAACTGCCCCAAATGTATTTCAATGTAATTGATTCTTTTGGGGTAATCTTTGTAATCCTATGTATTTTATTTTATGTATTTAAATAATTAATCTGAGGAGTCTATAGGGTTCACCAGACTGCCAAAGAGATTGGAAGAAATGTTAGGAACTCTTGCTATAGCTTATTGTCTTTCTTCTCTTCCCTTAGTGAGGAGGAAAAAAAGAGCTGATTATCATCTTCTATATATGACAACTTTATATGCTTCAATGATATTATTAAATTCTAACTCAGCCTTCTCTTATCCTGGCTGAAAAAATGCAGATTCCTATAACTTTTCCTTGTGGCTCTTACTGTTCAACCCTCTAATCATCTTTACAGGTCTCCTTTGAACCCTCATCCAAGTTCTACAGATACGTTATAATTTCTATAGGCCAGATCTGGACACAACAACACTCATATATTATGGACTATGGATAGAAACAAGGAGAGGATAACCTGCTAGTTCCTTGGTATGGAAGTATCATTAACATAACACAGTACTGTGCCTTCAGTTTCTGGGCTCATTCACAGATAGTTGTTCTACAATGTTCTGTGATGCCCCGATTATTTTAGGGCATTCTGGCATATTATCCATCTCTCCCCATCTTGTACATTGCCTTTTCTCTCCTCAGGAGGATTATTTTGAATTTGTCCTTGGTAAACTTTGTTCTGTTTTTATGTCTCATCATATCAACAATTTGGTAAGATCACTTAAAATTTAGATTTTTTTTTAATTTTTAAGGGGGAGGGGAAGTATACAGTGGAAATTGTATTGTTTCTGGAGTCAGATAACCTGAGTTGATGATTTCTACTGTGTGACATTAGGCAAGTTGATTAACCTTTCCAGACTTCAGTTTCTTCATCTGTTGATGAAGAATTTAGTTCAAAATGGCTTCCAAGGCCCTGTCTGGCTCTAGACTATGCTCCTAAATTGTTGGTTATTGTTCAGCTGCTTGCTCTAGGTCCTTCTTCCACCTAATGAAATAATCATCCTTAGACTTCCATCTTCTGGAAAGATGATATAAACCAGTGGTGTCCAGCTCAAGTGGAAACAGATCCTTGCAGGTGGCATATTGACTTAGAAAGCCACAAATTAACTTGTATTTATTTGTAGCTTGTATTGTATTGTATTGTAACTTGTATTAATTTGTATTTATTTTTCTTAAACATTTCCCAGGTACATTTTAACCTGGTTCAATAGGTACTGTATGGAAATTGAGGGGATGCCCATCAATTGAGGAATGGCTAAACAAGTTATGGTATATGATTGTGATGGAATACTACTGTGCTGTAAGAAATGATTAGAAGGTTGATTTTTAGGGAAAACATAAAAAGACTTGCATGGAATAATGAAGAGTGAAATGAGCTGAACCAAGAGAACATTGTATATAGTAAAAGCAATATTGTTCAAAGAATAACTGTGAATGACTAAGCTATTCTGACTATTATAATCAATTTAACTACAAAAGACCTATGAAGGAAGATGCTATCCACCTCCACAAAAAGAATTGATAAATAGAAGCATGCATAATAGGATTTTACATACACACATATACATATACATATATGTGCACATATATATGTATATATCTGTGTCAAATGATGACTTTCTCTAGTGAGGGGTAAGGAGGGAGGGTGGGAGACAGGTCAGAACTAAAAATATAACAAATAATAAGTAAAATTAATTTTTAAAAAAATAGGCATTATAAATGGCCCTTGAGCCTTGAGTCTGACACCTCTGATAAACTCTCAATAACCAAGGCTAGGAATTACCTTTATGGAAAACAACAAAAATTTCATCTAAATCTCTCCAAATTTTCAGTAATCCACCACTCAATGACTCAACCTCCATCATGCTAAATGGACATCGCCTAACTTAAACATCACCTGTTAAATTAATGTCTTCTCAGCATATTATAAGCATTTTTTGCAGCAGCAGACTCAAAAGCCTTATTAAGGTCATAATATGCAACGTATATAGTGTTTCCCTTCAATCTGCCAGGACTCTTGCTCTACTACTAAAGGAAGTTTTGTTTCCTTATAATATGGCAGGAATCGTATTTTATCTAAATGTTGTAGCACACATACATATTAAGTGCTTAACAAATGTTATAGGATTTGTTTCTTGTAAGGACATGTATAGTGGTTGTTACATTCTTATCTTTGTATCTCCAGTGCCTAGCAGGTGTTGGCACATAGTAGGTGCATAATAAATACTTGTTGATTGACATAAAGAATTTTCCTCCATTAAAGATCTACTCTGAGGCAGTTAGGTGACACAGTGGATAGAGCACTGGGCTTAGAATCAGGAAGACTCATCTTTATGAGTTCAAATCTGGCCTCAGACACTTACTAGCTGTATGACCCTGGGCAAGTCATTTAACCCTATTTGCCTCAGTTTTTTCATCTGTAAAATGAGCTGGAAAAGGAAACAGCAAACCACTCCAGCGTCTTTGCCAAGAAAACCCCAAATGGAGTCATGAAGAGTCAGACACAACTGAAACAACTGAAAAAAACTAACAACAAAGATCTACCCTGATGTCTAAGTGTAGGTTTTCAAATATTCTGCCAGTATAGTGTGAACCCTAGTAGGTTCCACTTAGTCAAATCAATTCAATCGGTAAGCATTTATTAATTACCCACTCTGTAACAGGCACTGTGCTACATGCTGGGAATAGAAAGCAAAACAAAACAAACAAACAACAACTAAAAAAATGGTTAATCTTCCCAAGGTACTCACAGTCTAACAGGGGAGAAAGTGCAAAATACTATGTACAAACAAGGCAGAGTCAGGATGAACTGGAGATAATCTACAGAGGAAAAACACTAGCATTGAGCAAAACAGGGAAAGCGTTCTTCTAGAAGGTGAGATTTAGCTGAGACCTGAAGGAAATCTGGAAACCACAAGACAGAGAGATAAGGAGAGAGAGAATTCTGTGCATAGGGGGACGGCCAGTGAAAATTCAGTCAGGAAATAGAGTGACAGTATTTAAGGAAGAAGAAGAAGACCAATGTAGTCTAAGTTGTAAAGTCTTCAACCATGGGCCCAATGATGGAGTTTGAGGGACACACAAGCTGAGTTTAGTAGGAGGATCATTCCCAGGTTTAATTATAGGGCTCTGAAAGTTTTTGGCCGTAGAAATTTGCAAAGATGATCTACTTAATAAGTCAAAGATGGATTTGTGATTGATATGTTTTTAGTCCTACTGTCCCTCTTGCCACAGTATCTCTTTAATTGAGCCTTAGCATTTTTTTTTTGTAAACTTCTCTTGAGTATATCAATTCTTTATTTAGGCAACTAAGTTTCTACCTTCTCACACTTTTCTGACACAAAGGGATAAATAGGCAATATGGTAAATAATTAAAAAATCATAAAATTAATTTAATCTAATTCTTGATATTTCAAGATACACTGGATTACAAACTCTTTTTTAAAAGTACCCATTATAAAATTCTTTCATATGATTTATTAAAATATTTAGAACTATATATGGATTTATGATTTTTTAGTACTCTTCTTTAAAACTCTTCCCATAGACCTTTTAAATCCCAAATCCCTTAGAAAACTCTTTGTAGAGTTTAATGGTCCATTTTATATATTTATGTGTGTTCTTATTTCACAGGATCATAGGTTTAGAGCTATGGAAGGGACCTTAGAGGACGTCTAGCCTGACCCTTCTTATTTTAATGATGAGGAAACTAAGACTCAGAACAGTAAAGTGATTTGCCCAAGGTCACACAAGTGTTAAGTGGCATAGCCAGGATTTGAACCTAGGTTGTCTGACTCCAAATCTGCAGTTCTTTCCAGGACCACCACACTGCCATCCAATAAAGGGAGTAAAGAAAGGCTTCATTTCTAGGCCTGGACATGTGTTTCTATGGGGAAAAATGTGGAAGAGGTTTTGGATCTCTGCCCCAAAGGAAGGCCTGTTGGTTCCTAAACCCAAATGACTCTGAAACTTTTGACTCAGAATGAAGAAGTTCACATCTAGTCCTTCTCCTCTAAAAGTACCTGAAACCAAAAGACAAAGTTTTGGGTCCTTAGATGAGATGTTCACATATGGAAAATGAAGAAGTGGAGCAATTTATGAGGACCATTCAAATGAACAAGCAAACCAGAAGCCAACCCAGAAAACAATTTTCTGGCCTTAGAGTCCAGAAGACCTAGATTCAAGTCTCACCTTATACAAAGATTGGCTGAGTTGACACTGGCCAAGTAACTTAATCTCCCAGGCAACTGTCTAAGACCTTGAATCCTAAAGCAGGTGTTAACTTGAATTGGTGGAGGGATTTTCCTACATGAATGAAATCATAAAAAGGGCACAAGAAATGGCCTACACAGAGAAATAACACCTTCAATCAGTTGACTCTTTCTTTTGAAAACTGTGTTTGTAAAACCATTTGGAGATAGTTTTCTAGTTCACTTGGCCTATCTAGACATAGCCTGAAAGTGATTTGTATATATTTTTTAAATGTTTTAAAAGAAAGAGAACTTCTATCTGCATTCCATTCAGCACAACTCATCTGTGAAATTTTATTTTTCTATTACCTGGATAATAACCAATAATAATATTATATAATACGGAATTATAATATAAAATAGTATATGTCTAATATATAGTATTTAATAATATCAATTTTCAACACTCATAAGCAACCTCACCAGCAAGGAATATTGATACCACCCTAAAATGGAGCACCCAAAGATCTCAGAAGAATTAGCATGATGGATAATCCCCAGAACAACAGAAAGACCCAGGGTGGGTATGAGAAGATATTAGTATCTACCAAGAATGACATGCAAATAAGATGTGAAATTTTTTTTGGAATTATTTTGGAAACTTATAATAATAAAAGGGGACTGCAGGTCATAAGGAGAGAATATAGAACAACAGATGCATAGTTTAAGTGTAGAATGGTTTTGATTTTGTCTTGGTCTACATTTATCATTTCATTTGGGAGAGGGGAAATTCTTAGTGTGGAAACTCTTTCCATCAATGTTGATCAGCAATAATAATATGTGATTATATGTATAATCTCATATATATATATATACATACATAATCTTTTAAACGATATATAATCCCAGTATATAATCTTTTAAAGAGCTGGGGGGGCCCCAGGGTGAGGGTGGCACAGTAGCTAGTTGGCACAGTGGACAGAGCAACCAGCCCTGGAGTTAGGAGGACCTCAGCTCAAATCCAGCCTCACAAGCTGACTGTGTCACCCTGGGTAAGTCACTTACCCCTGATTGCCTAAAAAAAAAAAAAGAGTTGCCTGGGGGCACAGATTAGTTAAGTGAGTTGCCTGTGGTTATACAGCTAATAAATGTCAGAGGCAAGACTAGAATCCAGGCCTTCATGATTCTAAATCTGGCTTCCTATTTCCTCTCTCTACCACATTCTATTTACATATACTAGTCCACTCAAAATATTAAAAGAACAAGAGAAAGGCCCCTAGCGTTACTACTGTATAGGATTTATGAGAAAATATAGACAAAGAGGAGGAGATAGCATGGTACCAATTAAAGAAATATTTACACTGACAGTATCATGGATCCATGAAATTACCTCAGTAATCACAAGAAAACTATACCTAAAGAATACACTTACCAGAGCTACATGGGACTAAGACTATTGTGTCAACAAGCCCTTGCCAGAGAAGTTTTGCTTGAGGGAGCACTAAAGAATTATTCCTACCACAATACTATTTTTTTAGGTTTAAGTACTTAGCATAGGGTCTAGATCTGCTATTTCATAACTCAAGCCCCTCCTGGTGTGGAAACTCCCTCTACCAATGCACATCAGTGACTGCTCTGCAATGTAGAATATTGGAGAGTCCTGGGGCACTGGGAGAGATTAAATAGTTTGCCCAGGGTCACCCAACCAGTGTGTGTCACAGGCAAGACTTGAACCCAGGTGTCCCTAGTTCTAAGCCTGGATTTCTATCCATCATAGCTCATTGCCTTTCATTTAATATGGACTATAATAATATTTCATCATAAACTGACAAGGCTAACTTTTTCTTTTCTCCTGGGGTAAGAAATATGGCATAGAAGTCCATGAAAGACAGAGAGATTACCTGCTGATTCTGGTAGGCAGTGACAGTGGTAAAGACAGTTTCAGGAAATGAGAATGCTTTAACCCCTTCCCCAGATGGAATAGGCTTGACAGGAGAAAGATCGTCTCCACAGTCTTTGCGAATGACATGCACCCGTGGTTGGTATTTGTGCATAGAGTGAAGAATAATCTGGAATAAGAAAAGGAAAAAAAAACACAATTGTCAGTGATTTCCCCTCATCATCAATTGGTCATCACTGAAAATTTTTTAAACAAGCTATGATGTATCTTGGTTGGAAATAAAATTTCCTACCAATACATATATAGCACATTCAGGAAACATCCTTACAATTTTAAAAGTCTCTAGATAATGCAAGTTTCTGTATTTATGAGTCTCTGATCTATAGCTGTGTGAATTATTCCAGTTTCATGAAAATATATTCATAACCATGATTCATATATAGGAATTAACATCAAAATGATTCACCCCAACTATTTTATATTTCTACATCAAATGGGAACCACTTGAAATAATATGATTAAAATGTGTTTAATCCCGCCAATTTAGCTATCACATACCCAGTTTTATTCAGACAATAGGCCTGATTCATTAGTAATAATTACATGCCCACTAAGTGATAAATTTCTTTGAAGGTCTCCCTCCTCTTGAGTTATTTATACTTTCAGATTAGACATTACTTCCTACTGTCCTCAATCCACTTCATTAGTATAGAGATTCAGCATCATAAATTATCAATGGACTTGAGAAATCATTTCAAGTGCATTCATAAACTCCCTTAAACATTGCCAATGGATATTCAACATGTGAGTTTACCCTCATCTTTTCCATGGTGCTGTAGAAATTCAAAGGCCTAAGATTCTTTTTAGCTGAATTGAGGTTTTGTTTATTTTCTTTTAGTTTTATTGATGCCTTTTGTTTTTCCACCACAATCATTTCCTCATACCCTCTTCTAGTTCCTTGGATCCTCTCTCACAAGAAAGAAAAAGAGTTCAGCAAAATTAACTGAGAAAACGACTTCATCTGACTCAGATGCGACATTCATCTCCTGTACCCTCCTCCTGTTTCTCCTGCCACCTCTCTACCAAGAGGGAAGTATATTACATCATATGTACTCTAGGACCTAGATTTGTCATTGTAATTAAGCTGTGTTTGGCTGCCTTTCAATGTTGAACTTGGTTTGAAGGAATCTCTTCTGAAATCTGATGGCTGAAATTGGATCTGAAATCATATTCCCAAACTTCTTTTCTGAGCTGTGAGGCTGGAAAGGCCTTCTAAAAATGATTTTGTATGTACTTATGTATACATATATACATAATATATATATATTAAATCACATGAAAAGTATCTTGAGCATCAACACCTAATAATGCTTAGGTTTGCAAGATCTAAGAGTTGGAAAAGACCTAAGGTCCACAGAGATTAAGTCCTTGCCCAAGCTTACACGGGCACTAAGTAGTAGAGACAGATCTGGAACCTAGGTGTTCTGGTATAAAATCCAGTGCTGTTTCCACTCTGTACCATGATGAGAACACTAGCAGCAATTATTGAGGAGGACCAGAGTTGAGCCTGCATAAATATGGATAACCCTGATTTCAAGACAATTTCTTTGCTGCTACAAGAGAAAAAAAAATCTTTTCCCCTTGTGAGTCAGTCCCACTACCTTTAAGGTATTCTTACAGTGTAAGGTATTCTTACACTGAAGATCTCTCAATGCAAGCAACTACGACCTTAACTGGAATCTGCCATCCCAGATAGATTTTCAATGTTCCCAGGGCTCTACGGAAATGAGATTCCAAGATTCCCTCATATAGCATCCCTGACCACAGATCTCTGCTTTGCAACTGATTTCTAGAAGTTCTTCAGAAAACTATATAAATAATGGGAAAAGTTTTTTAGCAGTGCGGTAATGTATAACAAAATCCTCAGGGCGTGAAGCTTTTATCTAGAGAAAACTCACTTTATTTTTATAGAAGAACCATGGAATGTTAGAGCCAGAAGGAACTTGAAAAACCATCTAGTCCAGCCCCCTCATTTTACATATCAGGAAAATGAGATCCAGGGAGGTGTTTGTTTTTTTGTTTGTTTGTTTGTTTTTTTTTTTTTGCCTAGGATCTTATAGGCACTTAGCTATGGAGCCTGGACCAAATACAAGGTCTCAGCTTTTAATCCAGAATTCTGTCCTATTACAGCACAGTTCTGGTGCTTTCCCCAAGATAAAAGTTCACATTTGCATTGCACTATCAGGTTCTCAAAGTACTTTTCTCACCACAACGTTTAGTTGGTAGATCAATGTAATATACTACCTACCTAACCCATGGGAAACTGAGGCCCAGAGAGGGTGAATGGGTGACTTGTCCGTAGTCACAAAGGTTAGCAAGTGTCAAAGTCAGGATTTGGACAAGTCATCAATCATTTATTAAGTACCTACTATGTGCCAAACACTGCGCTAAACCCAGGTCTTTTGACTCCAAATCCAGCATTCTTCCAAGTATACTATGCTGCCTCCTTTCAACAATGTGTATGCTTATTCATTCGACAAGTATGTAGAATCATATATTGCTAACATTGCAAAGAAATTGAGAAGGAAAGGGAAAGGAATACATGATCAATTTACAGTTTTGTGTGCAATTATCTTTTTTTTTATTGCACCGCATTATATAAATGCTTGCTTTGTTCTGTAAATTGAAAATAAAATAAATTTTTAAAAAGACGGTAAGGGAAAGGAATAAGCATTTATTAAGTGCCTACCATGTGTCAGGCAATATACTGAGTAGTTTACAAATATTATCTCATTTAGCAATTGTCTAATTAAACTCTAATTTTACAGAAGAGTAAACTGAAATTCCAAGAGGTGACTAACTTGAAGTCTTGAATCCAAATCTCTTGCCTTTCAGTCCAGTGTTCTTTCCACTTAACACTGGGCAAGTCACTTTACCTCTGTTTGCTTCAGTTTCTAAATCTGTAAAATGGGAATAATAACACCTACCTCTCATGGTTGCTCTGAGGATGACATGAAATAACATTTAAAGTGCTTTGCAAAGCTTAAAGTGCTATATAAATGTTAGTTATTATTATTACTGAAATAGTAATTGTCTTTTGTTCAGTTGTGTCTGACTGTTCCTGACCCCTTTGGAGTTTTCTTGGCAAAGATACTGGTATGCCATTTTCTTCTCCAGCTCATTTTATAGATGAGGAAACCAAGGCAAACAGGGTTAAAAGTCTTGCCCACATTTACATAGCTAGTAAGTGTCTGAGTTTGGATTTGAACTCAGGTCCTTCTGACTCCAGGCCCAGCACTCTACCCATGTACCGCCAAGCTGCCCAAGTGTTTTTCATAAATGCTTACTAATTGAGTGACATATACACCCTTTAAAAATCTGCAAGACTCTAAAGTAAGCCTTGATTTATTTATAAATTAGCACCATTGCCTTTTTAAAGAGACAGCTAACTAGTTGGGGGAAGTGGTCAAAACATAATTTTCACTGATTTGACAGAATCCTTAGAACCATTGGCCTACTAAACAAAGAAGCCTTGATCATGATGGTCCCTTTCATCATCACTGAAACTAAGTCAGTGTATTTGGGCATGTTCACAGGTCTCCTTTTTTTTTTTAACTTTTCCTCCACTTGTAGCAAGCATGGAAATTCCACAAGGTCCAATGTACATAAAAAAAAGAAAACATTCTTCATCATGCAAGTTAATACATGTTTGTTTTAACTATTTGGCCTATGTTGTCAGTGAGAAGGCAGTGTCACTTACATGAGCACTGATGAGTTTAGGGATCCCTTGGTTTAATGGGAGAATGTCCAAGGGCAAGGACTGTCTTTTGTCTCTTTTTATATCCCCAGATCTTAGCACATAGTAGGCATTTAATAAATGTTTTTTGATTGATTGATTAACATAGTACTGTCTAGCTCATGAGGGAAACATATTTTGCTAGGGCTGGAAATTTTTAGACACCATCCAAATTCCAGGGATGGAAAAAATAAAGAAGTGGGATCAAAAAGGATTAGAAAATGAAAGATCTGTTCTTTGAAGCTCCTTGTGACCAATTCCTTTACTTCACACCTGTGCATGGCTGAAATCAGGGGCCAATAGCTGGCTAAATCCATCCTACACAGATTCCAGACCCTACCTGAAATCATTCTTTCCATGGGAAAAATCTTATTAGGGAATTTCACTCTGTATGGCTGAAGTTGGAGTAGATGGGATAAGCCATCATTACTGACAAAATTAAGAATGTACACCCTAACCCAAAAAGTTAAGCTACAAAAATATGAGAAGCAGGGCTGGGATGATTAGCTCCAAGATGGAAAAGGGAAAGGCCACTTAAAGAAGCTTGGCCTACAGTATACAGCCTATACAGTATTGAGAACAGATGAAATATGGGTTATTTTCACTATGATCCATAACTTCACCGACGGTCATGATCTAAACAGTCTTGTACCAAGACTAGTTGAGAAATTACAGCTGTGGAACAGCTCAACACTGGGATAGCTTCCCACTTTCTTTTCACTATTTATTAATAAAATTCAGTGACTATGAAGTCCTTGATTCATTGTGTACAGAGATTCAAAATTTTCAACCAACTCAATGCAGGAGATTAAAAAGAACAAAAGGGGAGGGTAAATGATGTCAAGCTGGAGAATAATCACCCTCATGTACACATTAAGGTTTTCAAAGTTCTGACTCCAAAACAACCTATGAGGCGAGTATTGCAAGTATTATCATTATTATTTTTACTGCCAAGGAAACTGAGGCTCAGAGGAGTTAAGTGATCTACCTAGGTTCCTACAACACTACTGAGTGGCAGAGCTAGGATAAAAACACTATACTTTACCTTCTGCCTTAAAGCACCAAAATATGATTCAAAGGGGCAGCCAGTTGGCACAGCAAATATAGCACCATGCCTGGAGTCGGGAAGACCTGAGTTCAAATCCAGCCTCAGATACACACTAGCTATGTGACCCTAGGCAAGTCACTTAACCCTGTTTGCCTCAGTTTCTTCACCTGTAAAATGAGCTGGAGAAGAAAATGGCAAACCACTCCAGTATCTTTGCCAAACAAACAAACAAAAAAACAACAATGGGGTCACAAAAAATCCGACATGACTGAAAAGACTAAATAACATGATTCAAAAAAGAAACTGTCAAAAATTTAATTCAAATTTAAATCTATATCTTGATTTTGGAAAGGTGATACATCTTCTAGAATTTTAAAGGGAAAAAAAATTTAAGCTGGATATCATAGTAAGACTGTGAGAGAGAACACCAAGAAATAAATACGGCTATCTATAAATACAATTGATGTGATACTGCTGTTGTCTTAGCCAACAAGAGGTAAATTAAACGTCTGGTTGAGTCACTGTTATTCTCTTGTGGGCACAGTTTATTTTCTTAAGTGAACTCACAGAATTATTGATTCTTATTTGACAGATTATTTTCTTGAAAATACTCTTGGGTCCTTCTGTTTTCTCTTCACCAACTCATAAATCCACAAATTTTTACTATTCCCCACAGCAACTCTAACATCCACAAATTTCCTCAGAGCAACATTCCACATATTTTGCGCAACATTGCACAATTTTAAGAGGAATCTTCCATTGGAAAGGACACTTTTCTGGGGTGTTGGGGTTTTTGATGGATATAGTTCACTTTTCTTAGTAATGAAGAATGAAATATTTATAAGCATCTGGATTTAACAGTAGGTTTTATCTTAAAGCCTTTCCCCCCCAAAAAATTGTAAAGGAATCCAATACGCCGCTTCCACTTCAATATGACTAAGCTAAAGCTTAATCAAATGCTAGTTATTATTATTTCTAAATTGAAAGCTCTAAAGAAAAAATACTCTGTTATTTCTAAATGGCATAGCTTCATGAAGAATATTTTAACTGCACCTAGGATACTGCAAATATTATATGGCTTTTAAGTATTAAGAAGAGAATTTGGATTCTGCAATACAATAACTTAAAGTTTCAGATTTTTTTATATCTTTGAAAGACCTATTCTTAAACTGAAGAACTCATTAAAATTACTCACACTTAAATAAAAGTTAAACTGTGCTGCGCTAAATAGAATTTTAATGTATATATTATACCCACATGCTCCTGAAATTTAACAGACATAGTAGCATAACCACTATACCCCCTTTAATATCGCATATTAAACTGTAATGCTTTTTTTAAAAATGCATTTTACTATAGCAAATGAGAAATAATTGTTTTAACTTGGTTATATAAATTAAAAGTTTTTTTAAATAAGGTAAATAACAAAATGCAGTATCTGACATAAAAATTTAGCAATGAAATTCACAGGGACCTTATCTAAGTCACACAGAGTAACCAAAAACCAATCAATAAGTAAAACTATTGTGGACCCAAAGTTTTTATTAGGTTAAACAAGAATGTCTTTTTTAAAGGCCTGCTGCGCAAGAATCTGTCTGTGATTTACAAATCATATCCTGTTCCCATCATCCCATGTGTAAAACTACCATTCCTTGAAGATTTGTGTTGGTTTAGGGTTGTATGATTTTTCTCTCCAAAATAACCCATAATTTGCTATCAAAGATGCTCACTTTTCCTCATTCCTTTCTGAAACCAAGCAGTGTTATTTTAATATGTATTTGTTAGGACAGGATTGAAGGCACCCCAATTCTTTTTCAAACATGTCCTTTTCATCTATCAGAATGTTCCTCACACTATTCTATGTTTGTTCTGAAAGGAGACCAACATATGTATAGCATTACTATATTTGTTGACAATAATGGTGTGCAAAAAAAAAAAGAATTCTTCTTAATTTGACATTTTTTGTCTTGTTTTTTACTGAAGTGTCAAGACCAGTTCTGTCACTGAGGGAAGCTGGACAGATATTGGCTCACATATGTCATGTTCCAGTAGTTTTGAAAAAGAAAAGAAATATTAACATAACACATTTTGTCACATCAGATAATGTCATAACTAAATAATTTGGAACTTGCAAACAGAACACTCAAACAGCATAAGCCTCAGACAGTTATTGTGAAGTAATGAACTTCAGCTGGAAAAAGAGCTCAATGCATAAGGTATGTAATAAATCATTATCTGAGTCAACCCAGCTCCCATGCTGTTCATATTCTGAGTGCATTAATTAGCACCTCATGGTATTGAAGACAAATGTTGTGGTCAAAAAAAAAAAAGGAGGTCTAATTGGTTTTTCTTTTTCATCAGGTAAAAATACAAAATTTGGCCTCAACATCTAAAGCTCCTGATAGGATTGTCTGATCATAGATGCTATTTGAAGAAAACAAATTTAAATTTTACATGACTTGTGGATAGGTGCTTTGTCTAGGACAATGATAGAAAGACTAGAAAATAGTTCATTTGCCTTCAGTTGAACAGGGCACAGCAATGGCTGTGTAGAAAGAAAAGTGATTCCTTGCTTCAGTTAAGCAAGGCAAGGCACTCACATGTCCTTGGTCATCCAGCTCATTATTGGTAAGCTTCAGCTTGTCAAAGCTAATCACCTGCCGCATCCAAGTCTCCCCTGAAGCTGGTGAATCAGGATGGATGTAAACTCGGGGTGGTACAGGTGAGTCAGCATTACCTGCTACCATCCATTTGGAGCTGTGATAAACATACCTAGCAGGGAAACAGAAGCACATGCCGGAGCAACTTGGATCAAATGGGGGATCAATAATGGCACCAAGTCAGTAAGAATAAAAATTATTTTCACTCCTTCCTCAACACATTCAGGTTAAAAACAAAACAAAACTTCTTTTTGTACTTTTTGAGACTCTCAGTGATAGCTTTCAGTAGCCATGAGCTTGATATGAATGCCATGGAAAGGGCAAATATCTTGATTCTTAGGTACCAACTTTTTAATTTACATCTCAACCTCAAGCTACTAGATACTGAACATCTTAATATTTGGAAAATGTGACAATGACAGTGATTATATTTTGTTTTGCTTGCTTGTTTGTTTGTTTTTGTTTTTTTGGTCTGGAGAACTGGTGTTTGCATTCATAGGCAAATAATCCCCTCAGACTGTGCTGCAGACTTAGCAAAATCTCAAAAAATTCAGAAAAGCATGTCAGTTTATATCTAGTTTAGATCTAGTTTATAACTAGTATTTTAGGGATTCAAAATCCATACTGCTCAAGTTAACCTCAGTACTTGTAAAGGATCCACCAACATATCATCTTTCTTCCTGGAATCTCTTTACATTCATGTATTTATAGCAGCAGCAGAGATGGGGGAAAGGGGAAGGGAGGTAGGAATTAGAGAAGTTCAATTACAGTTTTCTTCTCAATTGGTTATTATTTGGTTTTTTTAATGCTATAATATTATATAAGCTAAACATAAATTATTTAGTTTATTTTTAACTTGTACATATTCATGAAATATATGTATTCTTTTCTCTGTCTATATTAGGATTCCATACTTTTAAAGACTAATGACAAGTTGTTAACCAAATAACTACTTCTATAAAACAATCCCCCAAATATGGAACACTTTCAAATAATTTTCAAATTGTACTATTCCAAGTATAAATCTTATTATGAAAATGATCAAAAAAGAATTAAAATCGATTGTATAATTTTGTAGAGAAATATACCAATTCACTTTGGGATCATACCAACATACAGATGTGGTCATTTGGTAAAATTAACTAACAATATGAAATTAACTTTTATCTTCTTAAAAGCAATCCATTCCTGACCTTGATGGCATCATTTATTGATATTAATCTAAAATCCATTCGTTTAAAACCTGGATCTGGGCTTATTAATGAATCTAGAAGAAGGGGAGAGGGAAAGAAATCAAACTATCTGCAGAGGTAGTTTTTTTTTCTTTCTCAAATGCAACATGAAGTTAATTCCAAGAGACTGTTAAAAATATTAACAGAAATAATATCTATTTGCATAGGCCATCAAATTATTACTCAAAGAATACAAAACATTTCCATAAGTTCTCACATGAAATTACATCTTTCAAATAAATCCACATATTTCAGTGTGTTTCTCTTTTGAAATTTCAACATTCTTTCTTTCTGTCCTATGATCTCCTCTTTAGAAACAAAATACCTAATGATTATACAATTATAAGCCTTGCTTCAATTACTTTATTTTGAAAGCCTCCTTCTGAATAAATAGTTCTTCTTGCATGTTAATTTCACCTATTCATTTTATCCCAGTGTATAAAATCACCAATGTTCTTTACTTTCTAAACAACATTCTAAAATTTAGAATATGAGTCTATTATACATTTTTGAACATCCAGTATTGCTGCAACCAAAAGAAAAAGATGCAAGCTCTAGAGGGATAGAAGAAAAATGAATGGCAAGGATGGTTTAGATTATTAGCAAATGAGGTAAAACCACGATCATGTCGTAAAAAACCTGAAAAGCCATACATATTAAGCAATTTTGAAAAGCATTTCCCACTAATAGTAACAAAGTTGCATTTTATAATTCTTTGTCAAACATTGTAAATCTAAAAACTGAACAATAATATTTTCCTGTGCAGAAAGCAGGAGCTAAAATACTTTATAATGTGAGGGAACAATGCATTTGACATCTTATTTTTTTTTACTTGAAATTTTTTTCTTGTTTCACTACTCTTTTGTTCTTATAAAAAGCTAGAGAATAATTTACATTCAGCAAATTAACCAAAAATTAAATTGAGGAAAGCTGGTTTGGGAGAGTAATGGATGGTTTCTTCTAGTTTACCCTAAGTTATTTTATACTGCTTAGGACAAAACTGAGATTCGAATGTGGATTAAAAAAACTGCATTTAAAGAACAAACTTTATTGGCTTTTTATGCCTCTCTGATACAATCAGATAGTCATTCTTAGCACTATGTATACTTTTCATCTCCAAAGCTCATTTTAAAATCTATAATAATTTCAATTAAAATTCTCAGAAATACTTATACACAAAATGCAAATGGAACATGCTACTAAAAATTAAGATCAATAAAACTTTTTTCTATTACCCATTTTATTCATATTCTATGCTTCCATTTGTTAATTAAATCTATCTGCTCTTCTAACACCATTCAACTGTTTCAATAAAGCAATTATCCAACTTCAACAAAAAAAGTTATATGGAACACAAACCTAATTTCATTTATCAATCCATTAAAAGTAAGATTGTTTGTTCAACCATTCTGGTCCTTCACACAAAATATAAAATGGGAAAGACAAGTAAAGTTAAAAACAATTATCTCCTATACTAGTAAATACTTCTTTAAAAATCTCAACATCCAATGGTGACTTTTTGTGGCCTTTCTAATTCTTTTATGAGAAAAAAAAAAGAATATATTGTCTATGAAATCTGAAACTAAACTTTATAGAGGATACACAAAATCTCAATTTGTGCTCCAGATGACCTTTTCTAAGCCTTCTTGGTGGTCAGTCGTATTTATAAATGGTAACTACAAAGCCCAAATTTTATAAAAAGTAATTTTTAAAACTCTACTGTTAGCTGGAAGAAGAGAACAAACTAATTTTGTAGGCCTTTTCAAGTGTCAGAAAATTAATGGTGTTACTTTCTGTTATTTAGTTAAAAATTAAAACAAAAAAATAGCTCACATATAAATAGTATTTTATGATTATCAAACACACATGTACTTTATCTTGTTTATAACAAATCACAGAAGTTGCAAGTGTTTTTGGAAATTGGTAGAAATATATTTTTAAAAATCTGTCCCAAATTCAATTTAATGTACCAAAAAGATACTGCATTTGCTTGAGGTTTACTTAAACCTGCGGAAACAGTTAAGTTAAATGTTTAGGGTCATCAAGGTGCAAATATTATTATCTGCATTATTCACACATTTACTCCAAAAATTAAAATGAAAATAGAAAGCTAATTTAAAAGGCAAAATGGTCTGTGTAGAGATCTTAAACAGGAAACCAAATGGCACTAAAAATGTTCCCTATTATATATCTTTCATGGAGTCAGAGGAATGATAGCATCCAGCAAAGTGAAACAAAACAAAGAGCCCTCATTTACATAGGCAATGGGCACCACATGTAGAAAACACTGTCCTAGGAAATTCATGATCATTCTGTTTCTGGCCCAAGCACAAGGTTTTAGACTCTGAAATGAAAAGAATTTCTTAAACCTCTAAAAACAAAAATCCACAATCAATTGCATCTCACAGATTCTGTTCCTAGTGAAACCTCGGTCCCTGAGCTCATCTGCATGGCCATTAATAATACCTGTATCTCTTATTGTCCACTGGCACAATGTCCATTGCAATATAATACTGTTGATGTGGGTCTAGACCAGAGATCTTCACTCTCATAGCAGGAAACATCCGCCTACACAAAACAAAGGGAGAAAGAAGTTATTGTTTTTTAAAGGAATGAACACGGTGATGTTTATTTAATCAATTCAATTCAATCTGATGAGGGTGTACTAAGTACCTATAATGTGCCAAAAACTGTGGTACACATTGGAAATAAAAAAGACAAAAATCAAACAGCTCTGTCACTCTTCTATCTCCATATGCTACCAAGAAGGATTTGGAGAACAGGAAAGGAGAATTTTGTGAACTGAACAAAGTTCTCTTAAGATCTCTATTTTTAATACAAATAAATGCCAAGCAATCAAAAAAATGGTACTTATCAAAAATGGCTTATAAGATGCAATCTTATAACATGTACACATAACAAAGTTTATTGAAATGTCCCTTTTATTTCAAGGCAAAGAAGTGGACTTAGAGATAACATACACTAAAGTTAGCAATGGATTTGTTTTGATAAAAGTTTTTGCAGTATGTTTTATACAAATACACAAACAAGAAAGTATATTTAGTAGAAGACTAGGAATTTAAATTCTGGGAACTGGGGGAAGCAGATTCTAATGTGAAATTTACAAAGGTTATAAAAAGCCACAAGGAGCCAAGGTGCCATGCTCTACCCGAAACAATATGTTCTTTATTGAGACAGGACTTCCTGTCTGCAATGTGCTAAAGGTGAAGAACAAAAGTTACCCGAAGTCTGAAAGGTATAGTAAAACTTCTTTATTGAAAGCAGAAACTAAATACGAGTTATATATACCACCCACTCCACCCCTCCAAAATAATAATAAATCCTCACAACAACAAATAACCAAAATAGTTTAATCTTGTTTAGCATGGATAACTAGATAATTGGCTAATTACATCATTTAGGAAAACCTTTCATTTATCTCTGCCTCCTTAGGATGCCTCTATCCTGTAATATTCAAGCCATATAACTCATCTTTTAAAGATGTGAATGCTTTCAAGAGCAAAAGTAAGAAATTATATAACATATAATTAGACTTGAGTCAAATAAAGAAAAAAAATCAAGATTTTAAATTTTGAAATAAAACATTGTCCTGCTATGACTTATATCCCAGATCTGTTTTTACAGTTAATCTGACTTTGGTTACTCTAACTTCTTAACTCAACTACTTAATACTAAGTAACTAAATAGTCTTCCCCACTTAAAATATGAATGCAATTAAAGAAGGCATCTATAGAAAAGAAACTCCATTATTTCTAACTAGGCATGAGAGTACTTGACTGGCTAGCTCATTTTTAGTGTTATTTCAGTGCACCTGTAAGATAGAGAAAGTCTTTGACTGGACCCTACACAAGACAAATGTTACTTTGTGCTATTGAAGACTGAATTTGGAATCATTAATAAAAAACCTCTCTGAAAATGTGAAAGCGGCATATGGATTCAATAAAATATGTTTTTGTAATTTCTAATAAGTTTAGATACTTTTATGCTGTGCAGGTTTTTACCATGTGTACCCACTGGAAGTTTTTTTTTGGGGGGGAGAAGGTTTCTTTTTAGAAAACTTATTATTCATAGACTTTGGGACTGTGTTAAATGAATAGGAAACTTAAAACTCCAAATGCTTCTATGCTTTCATTGCCTGGAATACGAATCAGCTAATTTTTATAGTTAGAGGGATATATTACAGGTTTTAGCCCCTGCTTACCATTTGTATAAATCTCTACAGTTATTAAAAACTGTCTTTGAAAAAAATAAATCAATTCCTTAAAAAAAGTTTGATGGTATTAATGATTTCATGTAATTTAGAAAACTTCATTGGAGAGGATCCCTCATCCGTCTACTAAAAAGAGCAAATTCAAAAGGGAGAGCAATCAATACAGGAATACAGATCAAAGCTCAAGATAATAACAATTTATTACTGAATTTCAAATTTATTTTCATCACAATCCAATCTTAGAATAAAATACATTTGGATGATTCACACTTTCTTTTTTTTAAACAGAACTGGATGATATAGAACCAATGGGTAACCTTAAATGTGGATTTGAAAATGCAAAACCCCCAGGATTGGAATGGAAGTGGAAATGCTAAAAAGTCCTACAAGGTAGAGCCTCCTCACATGTTCTAAGGCTTTGGAAAACTGTATAAAAGGAGAACTCCACATCTAAAGTTGATTTCCATGGTGAATCTGAATGCTAATAGCCTTCTGCATTAGGTCACAGTTATTTTCTTCTGGATTTCAGCGCTGTATTATTAAGCCTGCTTTCCCAAAGGTTACTCACTGCTCTACTCAGCTAATGCAGCTCCAGTTCTCTGCCTCTGTCCCTTTTTCACAGAGGGGCAAAAAGGGGACAAATATGGAACGTTTGTCTGTTCCTCTTCCTGACCGTCTGTTCTAACCAAGGTGCCACAGCAGGGCACCCACATAGGCCGATGATCCACCTACTGAAAGTCATTATTTGTGCCTTCTCCAACTGATTTACTAAGGAGGAGATTAAGAAGGGTCGGTCGGTCTTTCCGACAGTTTGGCCCTTTACCTGCCGGCCTTGGTGATGATCATCTCTGTGCCGATCTCGTGGAAGCGTTTCCAAAGCTCTGCGCCTTGAAGATCCACCCGGGGTGCCTGCGGGGAGGGTAATGGGGACCCAGCCTGAGGCAGTACCGGGACTGGGGCAGGCGGAGGAACTGGGGATCCTTTCGGAGAGGTTCCCGGGGACACAGCTGGGGAGGCTCCCGGCTGGAAACCATCTTCACAGCCTCCTGCAAAAGAGAGAGGGGTTATTGAACACAGTTTATGAAGTCAGGGAGAAAAAGGTGGAGAAAATGAGAGAGCAGACACTGAAGTCAAGACTGTGACCTCAGTGCCCCAAAGAAACCAAAAATGAAGTGGATATCCTCTCTTGTTAACATTAACCCCCAACCTCACAGCCCTCACCATTTGACAATCTGAGAAGTGCCGCTTGAGGCCTGCCTCACCGCCATAGCGGGCTCAGTCCCCGAGCAGGGGAGAGTCTTGGTGCCAGGCCAGAACTTACTTTCAACCCCTAGGCCTAGTCTCGGGCCCTCTCCACCTTCCCAGTCCTGGAGCCGCCAGCATGGGCCTGCACTGGGATCTCCACACTAGGGCTGAAACCAGAAAACGCCTGCCAGGAAGGGAGGGACTAGGGTGCAGCAGAGAGAGATATCCGGGCCTCGCACCCGGCAGTAAACCTAGTAGACATTGGGATGGGAAACAAAGTTGCAGCAACGGCCGGCCACCTGGTGAGCCTTACCCTCCGACAAGCAAGAGAAAGCGGCGGGAAAGCTGCGAGGTTCAGTCATCGCAGTCCCAGCCTGATCGCGCTGAACCCTGCCCTCCTCAAAGAGCTGCCCCAGTCCGGGCCCGAAAGTATATGGTAACAAACGGCCAGGGCCCTGCAATCCCACTGAAGTTTGACAAGCAGTCGGCCGGTCCCATTTGGCAAAATCCATTTCATCAACCCTGGTTAAGACGGCAAGAAGAATTTCCTGCCTCCCGATCTATTCCACAAAACATGCTGACAATGCCTGATTTCAAGGAATGCAATGAAATTTAAAAAAAAAAAAAAAAAAACTAGTTCCCGACGCTTCGCACCAACCTGTTGTCTCTGGGCATCTTTTCCCGTCCCAAAAGAGTTCCAGGAGAAAAAAGGAAACTGAGCCCTCAGTGCGAAGCCAGAGACAAGATATCAAATATGAAAACACTGTCTCCCTCTTGGCTGAGTTGCTCTGTAGTCAATTTATGCTTTCCGGTGTTAAGGAGGTTGGAGGGTCAATTTTAAAAACTATTAGAAAGGGAATAGCCCACTGTGTGTTTAGGACTGGGGAATGCTCTAAAATGAAAGCAGGAGCATCTCTGCTGGGCCGCGACCCTGGCACGAGTGGGGAGGGGGGGCGTTATAAACGAGGGCGTCTAGAAGGCTGCAAAAAGCATGAGCCAGAAGTCTAGAGGCCAAGGCAACGTTTTCAAATTAAAGAAAAAAAATCAGCCAGCGGGCCTTTAAATCAGAGAGTGGAGAGTGAGGAAGTTTGACCAGTAACTTTGAGACTCTTACTTGCGCCTTGCCACCCACGGGTATAAACAGCTGCGCGTGCGAGAGTGCAGGCATCTCAGCAGCCGCAGCTGGGGGGGGGGGGGGAGTGCCTAGGGACAGAGAAGGCAATGCAGCCCTCCTCCCTGCGGTTGATTATCCCAAAGCCCAAATGAAACCTGCTGAGCAGAGGAAAATCCCCGCAGCAGTTCCTAGCCGCCGGAGGCCTAGAGCCTGGGCATTTTGCCCCCCGGGAATTGCCTTGAGGCCAGTGGCAGACCCTACTAAGGTCTGGAACCAGAGGCTGCCTCTCCTGGGGTCCAGTGCAGCCCCGTGCTGCTGGGGATGGAAGTGAGCAAGAGACGGACTCACCGGCAGGTCCTCGGGAACCGCAGGTCCGCTCCATCTCCGCGCAGCTCCGGGCAGACAGGGACCCCGCGCCAGTCCCTGCTCCGGCCCCTGGAGGCGGCGGTACAGAGGCGCCTTCGGCTTCCTCCACCGAGCTCTTTTCGCATCCACCGCCGCTGCTGCTACCGCCTACCTCTGCGGCGGTCGCGGCGTCGTCTCCGCCCAGCTTTCTCCGCTTCTTCTGCAATTGCTGCAGCTGCTGCTGCTGCTGATTTTCCGCGCCGATCAGCGCTTCCACAGAGAAAGCGTGAGCCTTCAGGCTCAGCATGCTGCAGGGCGAGCTTCTCCTCTTCTCTGCCATCCCCGCCGCTCCAGCACACGCGCGCGGCTCTCCCAGCTCTCATATACACACACGCACACTCGCGCGCGCACACTCACACACACGCAGACACACACACATACACACACACACACACACACACACACACACTCTCTCTCTCCTCTCCTCCCTCCCAAAAAAACCCCAACAAAACAAAACAAAAAATACGCGCTGCCGCCCAGTTTCAGATTTGCCCTCCTTGCCGCCGGCAAGAACAAATTTGGCGTTTCCTCCCCGATTTTCCTTAAATCCAAGTCATCAGAGGCGCCTCCGCCAACTTGTCTTTGTTTTGTTTTGTTTTTAATTAATCCTTTTGCGCGCTCTCTCCTTTTTCCTATTTTTTTTTCCAGGGATGTGAGTCTTCACTGCCACCCCCCACCTCCTTCTTCTCCTCCAAGCTCTGCCTTGTCTGATGCGCCAGAAAGAACTGACATGGGTAAAAAACACTCTGTGGACACAAATTAAGGCTTGTAATTGAAATTTGTTGCCTTGATCTGTCAGCACTTCCAGGCAGGAGAGCGGTGGGAAGAACTTGCTCATTAGTGTCAATAAAGCGGCTGGGAAAGGGCGGGGGCGGGGTGGAGTCCTAGAACTCTGTCAATCACCCAGCCCAACCACCAATCCCAGAAGCCCCGCCTGGGGGAAGCCGGGGCCGTTTCCTTACAAGGCTGCAAAAGTGGAGGGCTTCCATGCGCCGCCGCCTGGCTCAGTCTGACCGCCAGCACGGATGCCCCCTCGATCTCCCCCATCTCCTGCCAGTCTCCACCCTCGCCTTTCCCCTAGGTCCCTACCCCCTCCTCCCCCACCTCTACGCGCACTCACATAGGTCAAGCTTCTGATCCCTTTCCTACTATCTCAAAAGGTTGCAAGCCCGCCTGCTTTGATTAGCGACCAGTTTAAAGGATAGGAAAACTAGGAGTCCTGCAAGTGAAAGGCACTTCGAAACTTTTCGCCTTGACCCAGAGCAGTTGGTCACCAGCATACATTAAAGGGGAGTTGAGTGGGGGGTAGAAGGAATCCACTATCACCAAGATTTCTTTTTAATGGATTAAAAAAAAACCGTTTTATGGTGTGTGGGAGCGTGTGGAATAGGAGAATTGTAAATTTCTTTAAGTTTAGGTGATCAGGAGCTTGCCTCCTCAATCAGTCTCTGCTCTCACAGATTGAAACCAAACAGATCCCAAATGGCACGCCACTTTATTAAAAGTGTTGCTTCACACCTCTCTTTCTTTTTTCCAATTATTTCAACATTCAGGTCATGGTTTTTGAGCACGTTTTTAAAATGTTCTTAAGGGCACAGTTTTAAGATTAAAACTTAGAAATGATGCAAAATAAAAATAAATGGATTTTTAAAAGCCCACTACCATTAAGTACAATGTAGGGCGGGAGTTACTTATCTGGTATTCAATAAAATTTCCTTTCTCCAAGTTTTAACAGTTCATCTCTTTGTGAAAAGTACTTACTGTGTTCAACTCATTTGAAAACTCCCTGTTTTATGTTTGATGGGAGGAGGAACACAAATCGAGTGGGACAAAACGTGTGTAATTTAATTTTTAGTTTTAACTCGACTTCCTCACTTTTCATTTTTTAAAATGTATTACAAGATTCAATTTTAAATGACCCAACCTTTTGCATGATGCAGTTTAAGAAATATTAAGGCAATCTCTTCCTATAGGATGCAGGAGGAAGAAAACCATTTCATTTGAGGAAATAATCCAACTGCGAAGTTTGGAAGACCGTCTTCACAAAAATTATTCCTATAATCTTTGTAGTCAGATTAAAATAATATATGCATTACCGGGCCATTTTACCACAGCCCAGGGGGGAAAAAAAGTAATAGGACAGTGTGCAGTAATGTAAAGGATTAATGTTATCTCAGAGTTTAAGGTGTCTCGCAAGAGTGGGGTTACAGTGATCGTTCAAAGGGACTAGCTGGCAGTTTTGTGTCTTTACTCGATGATAGTGATTTCGACATCAGGTTGAACTCTTATTGGCAAGAATTATTTTAGCAAGCGTTTGGGAAGGATTTGAGGGTGGTGTATGTGGTGTATGTGTGTGTTGGTGCATTAAAATATATATATACTTTTGCAATTGATCTAACGCATAAAAGAGGCTTATCCCTCAGTGTGAGGTGAGCTGAACAGAATAGATCTGCCTATTAAAGTCAGGAATGTAAAACTATTAGCAAGACTTGGAAGTGCAGCTTTAGTCAGGACCTGTGATTTCACCGGTGAAAGAAATCAATAATGGGAGTTTTCAGGTGTGGGAAATTTCAAAGATGGGTCAGTAATCTAGAGAGTTATCTCCAGGCACTGAGAGATTAACTGATTTGTCCATGATTTCACAGCTACTGGGGCAAGTCTCTAAACTAGGTCTTCTTGATTCCTAGGCTACCTCCCTATGCAGAAGCTTTTTGTGTTCTTGCAACAAGCTTATGGAAAAGGAGTTGAAGAGGGGTTGAGGAAGATACTCCTTTAGCTCTTGAAGGGCTGCTACAGTGCATAGTTATGTGATAGAGCCTAGTCTTAAATCAAGTACTGTAATTCAGGCTTGAATTCAGAAAGTAGTGCCCCACTTGAGTGCAGTCTCCATAAAGGAGAACAAATGCAACACATTTTCTGGGAAGGGAGATTTCAGAGAATGCTTTAACTTGAAAGACTGTGCATCTCCCGCCCCAGTCAGCTAGACCATCCCCCAAGATGGGGAAGATCACCTCATGTAAGCAAATCACCTGTAAAGCCTCCAATATTCTACTCAATACTATCACTCCCCCAAACACACATCTCTGTCACAATCTCCTCCATCTCTCACTTCCCACCAAGTCTCTAGCCTCCACCAATACATTTTAGTGGCTGATTCCACCCTTCCTGGGCCTCTCCCATTACCTTCATGTGACATCCCTCAGCCCCACTGAAAACTCCACTAACCCAGACCCCTTCCCCCTAAACAACATCCTTTACTGGATCTTCAATTTAATCCAGGTACTCCCAGGGGAAGTAAAATCTCCTACTCTATTTCTCAGAAACCTAATCAGACTGGGGTAAAAGGAGATAATCCTGGTTTTGACAGTTCTACACAATCCCAGTTGTCTTTGAGATAATGGCTCACCAACAATCTGTTTTTGCTTGAATTATACATATAGTTAGGGAAAAGGAGAATATTTAGGATTTCAAATATTTAAAGTTTGAACTGAAAATGTATCATAGAAATTTGCAAAGTCCTCCCTGTCACTTTAAGCTTCTTTTACTAATTAGTCCCTTAGCTAATTGATTGGAAGACAAGAATAGACATCCCTACAGCCCCTCAGGGCCAGGATCAGACTACTCTCTTTATTTTCTGGAGCCCCACTCCTCTGCTCCCTCGGAACTTTCTAAGGTCAGAAATTATGATCTTTGATTTAGAATTGGAAAAGATCTCAAAGGGATCCCTCATGAGCAAACAAGCCTGGGAAGGCTAAGTAACTTGCCCAAGGTTACCCAGATGACCTTGAAGAAGCAGGATTAAAATCTCAATGTTTTCTTACTTCTAAATTCAGCAAGCCTTCCTTGGCACCAAGATGTCTTCTTAGATGAGAGAGGGAACCCCCCCCCCCAGATTTAAAAGCAAGTAACTTCAACCAGCCAGGTCTGCTACAGGAGGGACACCAACTTTTCTCCTAATTATATTTCCATATTTATAGGGTTGGAGACTATGGAAGTTCTATCTGACACTTTAATTCCATTCCTCCTTGACACAAGGTTATGTTAAACAATGGAGCCAGAAGCCCAGTCTGGGCAACCTACACATAATCTGAGTGTTAAGATGCATATGTGTTTATGTGCTTAGACTCAGGTACATAACTGAGCTACCTTCCTCAAACCAATTAGCAGTGGCTATTTTTTTAAGCTCTCCCAATTTGTCTGGGTGTGTCTCTTGCTCTATCTGTGTCCCTGTTGGTTTCAGTATCTAGTTATATAAATACAATCTATATTGATTCAACATTATGTAAAATCAGTCTCTTTAATCTCTGACCCTTTTCCTCTTTCTCAATAATTTGTGTGTATGTGGATTTAACTCCCTGTACTAGCATATCTTTCTAGTTAAAAATGGAGATGACTCTGTAATACACCTTTACAATTGTTACATTAAAAATAAATCTACAATTATCTCTTATAGTCATATGTCATGTTTTGATTTGTATGTACATATACTTATTTACTACATACAGCCTGGATTATAGATGTAATGTAAATATATGAATATGTCACATTTATAGAGAGATAGGCAGAAGGTGAGAGCTTTTTAATAACTCCAACTAACTTCTGGGGGTGGGGGTGGTGGGAGGAGCAAACAATTCATTTGAACTAGAAATCTTCTCTCCATTTCATTTTGCCTGAATTGACTGACATCTTTTCTGGGCTCCATGATTGAGCAGATCCAATCTGTTAGCAATACTCTGAAATCAGAAGGAGAGGCAGAGGAGATGAGAACTCACTATTTTTTTATTTTTTATTTTTTATTTATTTTTTTTAAGGATATGTAAAGTGGCAAGTCACTTCTGAGGCCTCTGAAGCCCCCTGGTGAAGGCAGAGCCCTGAGGCTGCTGTAGTACTTTCTTCAGACTTCCAGTGATTCGGGGGAGCTACTTTTTAGATTATGAACAAGTGAAATGTCAAATCAACGTTGCAAAAAACAGGGCCAGTACACACAAAGGGTTGAAAGTGTTTATTATGTTAGTCTATCCGCAGGAAAGGGAACAAGCTCCTCAGAATTGAGCCCCTTCTTAGACTCCTACAAAAACATTCTCCAACAAACCCGCTATCTAGGAGAGAAACAATCTTTTCTGGGAAGGGCTGGATTTTAACAATTACTGAGTGAATTAAGCTAGCAGCACTCCCTAAATTAATCAAGTTCCTTTCTCACAAAACAGCAATATTGATGATAATATTCCCACCAGTAGAGGGATATTAAATAGAAAGTCTATTAAAGGAACTTCATTTAAT